AGCTAAATTTGATGATGATAGCCGCTAATTTTAAAGGTTTTCTGATATAAAACAAAGGTGGAATTTTCCAGTTAACGGATTTTATAAAGAAAATGTGGAGCAGTGGTAATAAAATGAAGATGATATAAAAAGAGGTTTGTCATTGTGATAACAATGCTTCTCAATCATCAATCAGTTAATGAATGGTGAAATCTGTATTATGGTTCTAGATTCTAAAAACATAGCAGTTACTGAAAACGAGAAAATTTCGATTGACAAGTTAGTCAGAATTCTCGAAACAGCAGTTACAGGACTTCAACAATGTAACTCAACAAGAGATTACGTCTGTCTACAGAATTAAAGAGAAAGTATTAGCACAAAAAAACGAAGCAACTTAAACAACTTACATTGAAAGAAATGTTTAATAAGGTAAATATTAAGCTTTTTTTTTTTTTTTTTGTAAATTTTGTTACCCTTTAGATCATAAATACTTCATTATTTCATAAATAACGATTTCATATTTTTAAATTTTGTAATTTCTACATGCCTTCTTACTAGATTTAAACTGATGATATAATATCCGGAAAAATCCCAAATCCGGAATCGCCAAAGTCCCGACGAGTCTGGATTTTGGACTTTGTACTGTACCTGTTTGGTGATGTACCATAAGCCTGCAGGAGATCTGTTGTTCACTAAATTTTCTCTTGCTCTTATCATGTCTTGAGGGAGTTAGACCAGAATTACAGGTTAGTCTATATTTTAAGGTGCCCTTGGATTATCACCAAGTTCTTCTTTCATTTATGGTAACCTGAGTAGTTAAATGGCATGGAAACCCTATTATGACATGATTAGTTGCATCATTGCAGTGAATTTGACTAATGGGAAAATATTTGTAAGGGTTTATTTATGTGTTGGAAGTTGGTTAGGAAGTACGTCACTTATTTTGGGCTTTACACTATAAAATGGCTGTATGTAATAAGATTAATCTGAAGTTTCTGTATGATTTGGAATGAAAGTGAAAAAAGCATTAATTGACTGGTGTGTAAATGAAGGTTTACTTAGTAGTTGTAAGTGTCCTGTTTGTACAAAGGGAATGCATATGGGCAAACATAAAGATTGTTCAGATGCTTTGAATGGGTTTGTTGCAAGAAAGATTCAAATGCTCACCATATAAAGCATTCTAATTAGAAAGGAATCATGGTTTAAGGAGAGTCATTTGAGTATTATTGAGATTTTGATTTTTACGTGGATGTGCGTGTATAAAGCTAATACTAAAATGATTAAGATTAAATTAAATATCAACAATGATAAGACCATAGATGATTGGAAAAACTGTGAATCTTCGGATTATGGTAACTTGGCGATTTTTTGGCGACCAACCTGACTACAGCAACCTGCTAGTTTTTTTTTTTTTTTTTGGACGCCATTTTGTTTTTACGAAGTAAAGGCATGTTTGTTTTTGTTTTTTTACTCAACATTTTTTCCAACAATCTGCTAGCCGAATTACGCTTATGCTAGCAAAAGTGCTTAATCATGACGAAGATTAGGTGCGAAATTGGGAGAAAGTGCAGAATCGACCACTGCTTTGCGCGTTTTTAAGAATTGCATATACGCGGTATCCATGTCCACGTCGACCTATTTTCACTTAAAAAAAAATCCCAGAATTGCACAAAAATGGCATTGCGCACACGCTTGACTTTATCCACGTACACATCAACTTATTTTCACTTAAAAAGTCAAAGAAAATTGACAAAAATTAAATTCTTCTAACTCTTGTAAAAGCGCCAAACAAATAGGTGGGTAAGGTTGATCTTTACAATATGGTAACTGGTAGTTTGGCGACATTTTGGAGGCGCTAAAGGTTACTACCTGGGACTTTGGCAATAATGTGAGCAGTACTCAGTTCCGATTACGCATTATTTTGCGTGAGGGAAATGAGAGATCATGGGATATGTCATGTGATATTAATGGACGAATTACCGTTCTTTAATCGGAAAAGGGGGGAAATCGGGAAAAAAATCTGGAAATTTTGTATTTAGCTTTATTCTGTGTTGTGTGAAACAGTGTTTGTTAATTTTTGGATCCCATGGCCCTAAGTAAAGTGAATTCGAAATGGGTATTTAGGCATTGTGATAAAGAGAAGTTTGCTTTTTATTTAGCGGAGGAAGTATGGAGGAAAAATTTGCAGAAAAAATCTTTTAATAAATTTATTGAATGAATTAGAAAAGTGTATCCGCCACGTAATCAAGATTCTGAAGAATATTAGGTAAGTTAGTATTTTTAATTATTTGAGGATATTATTTTTATGCATTGTTCTAAATGTAAGGTGGAAAGGAATTTGGTATTATTGGGAAAATTGTTATTAGCAATGATTTAGTTTAAAGTAATTAGGATTGTAAGGTAATTTTTATTAATTTAATGTATGTGCTCATTTATATTTTAAGTAGTGTTTTTGAATTTAATTATATTTTAATGAAATGATAGTTATTTTGTGAATTTTATGTTTGTAGGAATTTGGTATACGTTTTAGTTGAAATAAACGTGCATGGAAATAATTTAAATATCTGATACTAAGTATTTGTAATGTTTGCGGTATGAATTCGTTGGTGACGTGTATAATGTAATAGATGATTTAGAGGTAAAAGTTTTTGGATATTTTATTTATTTTATATGTGGAAATGTTCATATTTGTAAAGGGTAAATACTTTTTCACGATCAGGTAATTTCATATATGTTCTTTTTACCGGGTTTAAAGATTGAGAAAATTGTCATGTATTTTCATGAAATTTTTCTAATTTATGAGAAAAAAGCAGTGTACATGGATATAGTGAAGAGTGTGCGCAATGCCATTTTTGTGCAATTCTGGGATGTTTTTTTAAGTAAAAATAAGTCGCGTGTACATGGTTTATGTGTATGTGTTATTTTGAAAAACGCGTAAGGAGTATGGTATTGTGCACTTTTTCCCAATTTTGCAGTGAATATTTGTCATGATTAAGCAGTTTTGTTTGATAAAATTTCTAGCATAAGTGTAATTCGGCTAGTAGATTGTTGGAAGAAGTGTTCAGTAGATAAAAAGAAAAAGAAACATGTCTTTACTTCGTGAAGACAAAATGGCGGCGGGGGAAAAAAATAGAGGGTTGTGTAGGAGAGTTGGTTGCCAAATTTTCGCCAAAAAATCACCGAGTTACCATAATGTAAAGATCAACCGTGGGTAATTCTGCACTTTAGCAGCAAAATTGTTTCTAAGTGCTTACTAGCTAAAGTCACGATCGGAATTTTCCGGAAAATGTCACGACATGTCTCATGATCTCTCATTTCTCTGAGACAAAATAATCTGTGATTCGAACTGTGTACTTCTCAGATTATTGCTTAAGTCCTACCTAGTAACCTTTATCGCCTTACCAAAATGTCGCCAAACTACCTTTTACCATATTCCAAAGATTAGCCAAACTTTTGTAGGGATGTGTATATCGATATATGTATTAGTAAAGGTGAAATGATTTTGGGTTCTGGCATGGTCATTGAAATAGATGAAAGTAAATTTGGTAAATGGAAATATAACAGACGTAAATGAGTGGAAGAAAAGTGAGTGTCTGGTGGAATAGAACGAGGGAGGGGAAGGTGTTTTTAAAGTGGTTGAGAACAGAAGAAAAGAAACTTTGTTGTATGTAATTAAATGGAACAATAAAAAGAGATTTTCGAAAGAAATTTCACCGACAGTCCGATACTACAGAGGATATATTTTACTCCTATTTTTGTGAATTTATGTGGCAACGGCAGTATGCAGAATCTAGTTCAGATAATTTCAGAAAGTTTTTGGATGCTATTAAAGAATTTTTTGTGCCACAGACTGAAGAAACAGAAATTTCTAAATAAGATAAGTTGATATTTCGTTTCTGTAGTGTGCAGATGAGATAACATGTATTTCTTTTATGTTATTTCACTGTTTGATTTAAAATGCAGTTTATTGAGATTACATATTTTTGTTTTAATTATGTTTTGGATTCCATTTTACTGGGAAGAGTGTTGAACGTAAACAGGAACGGTGCCCAAAAATCGCCAAGGCGTACCCTGAAATATATTTTTACCAAATTAGTTTAGTTAATTATTATACTTGTGTCTATCTTCCATAGATGCTTCAGGCTTACCTAAGTTCCAAATAAATTTTGTGATGATCTGTTTTAGAAATGTATATGTATGATGACCCATGTAATAGGCAGATTATTTTCAAGCAATGCGTACTCACTTCGGTCCTTTTATAATGGGACAGTCAGTATGTTAATTATGAGCAGTGTCTGGGTTACAGATGTTGCTGTACAGAGAAATTGCACAGAAAGCATGATGTAACATGCAACATAGTTACGCAGCAAAACATATTTTTTAAAGTGGTGATGCATTTACATAAAATTTACAAATCTGAAGATCTATTACCCATCAATTGCCAATTAAGTTTAAAAATTTCATTTCGTATTTTGCATGTATGTATACTGCACAAAAAAAAGGGGGACAGTTCTATATCTTCCACTCTACTGGGCCGATTGATGAAATTCAAACTATGTTTTTCCTGTCTCGAAAGCGTGACTTGGGATATATGTCAGATTTATATATTAGCAATATTCTAATATAGGTATTTTGACTTTTTCTGAAATGACATGCCAATATTTTGGTTCTATGACTTAAATTATGTCTAAATATTAAATTCTGTAAAATTTGGCATGAAATTTATGGAGAAATTCAAAAATTTATCTTGGCCTATTTTTTTCAGTTTGAAAACTCTCTCATGCTGAATAAGTGATATGTTATATTGAATATTAAAAATCATGAAAACATACTATTTACCACCACGAAAACTTCTGAATGGTTATAATTACATTATACTTGGATAACATTTATTAAACAGAAATCTCATTGTGTTATTATGAATCAAATTCACTATAAAACTGTTTCTCATAATTATTACCAAATATGATAACAAACTTTATTTTAAATATCAAAGAATACGCTGATTAAATATTCCTTACTTGAGGCACATTAGAAGACATCTGGTTTAAACTTTCGGCAGTAACCGATTTATACTGTTCAACATTATCACCATACTCTAATCGGACAGCAAAGCCCAGAAGCCAATCCGCTACTTCTTCTCTGTCTGTGAAAGGGCAAGCAACAGCTTCTAAATATGTTTCAAATGCATTCTCCCAATCTGGAGCAGCAATTACTCGCAAAGGATCCCTATTTTCGATAGGGTACTGTCTAATTACTTGATCTTCAAGCCAGACGACAAGCGTACGAAAATCTGTATCCGAAAATACATTGAAATCATCAATTTTCATGTAACCTAACGCTTCTAATTTTCTTCTGTACGCCATACTAAATTAGCCTTATTTTATATAAAATTAAATTTTGGAAAACTATGCTAATTGAACGTTCTCACGCGAAAGCGGCGAACGCAGATATTTTCAAAAATTTCCTGTTGCCACTAGCTGCAAACTAACACAATTTGTCAATTCATACAGTGTATCAATGCATGCAATACGATGTGTCAGATTATCTAAAATTCAATAATTATATTTTAAAAAATACAATAAAGAACAGATAAAGGCATAAAATGCAAACAGATGATCAATGTATTATTTATTTGAGCTCGTTAGATTTCTTGCCTAAAGTAACAAATGTCTGAAAGCGAAACCGAAACTAGATTATTTCCAGCCATAACAAATTAAAATTTCTAATATTAAGCGAGTCATTTTTATGGTGAAGATCAACATTATATTCCTCATTATGTTTTCTAAACTTATATACAATTAGGTACACCTAAAGCAGGATGCAATGCAACTGATTAGCGACAGAGAAAGACATGGAAAAATGTATTCTTTTTCGTGTGTTTGAATGTTTCCTACATAGGAACTGAATTGAGAAAAATAAAATGCTTTGTTCTTCCATTATTATGGCCAATTCATTCCTACGATATTTGGAAAATTTATTCTTCTTTTTAAGAAAATTGATTAATCTTTAATTATTGATGAATTTCACTGTAACTGCATATTAATATTATTTCATTTTTGTAAATTTTTGAATTGTTAAAGAATATAGATAATTGTTTTGTCTTCTCATTGTGCACTTAATTAGAAAAATTATGATTTTTTTCAGGATAAATTAATCTTGAGAAAAGTAAGGCGACATATTCTCTTCATATTTGTCATAGTTCAGTCGTGTAAAATATTCTGTTCAGCTTCATTGCACATCTGTTTCATATTTATTTGGAGCGATGAATTGACATTAGAATTGTCCAATAAGTTTTCTCATCGAGCCATTTAGTAATTTTACATCAAATGTTTTTCTAAGTTTATGTTACTTGTTATATTCTTTTTGATTACTTAATTTAGCATAAAAAATTTTATTACTATATTGATTACTGTAATTAAATACATCGTATCTAAGTATGGCATGAAGGTTTTTTGCTATACGTTTTTAATTTTGTGGATGAATGTAATATGTGGTGCATGAATTTTGGCATCATCTGTTTTCTGCATCATGAGTTTATGAATGTCTTAGTTTTTTATATATAATATCAATAATTTTATAATCGTTTATAATATTAATATGACATATTTTGAACGCAGTGTAAATTATCGTAATTAAACTTACTTTGTTTTCCTTGCATGAAGTTTACTTTTAAAATTGTGCTTTTTATTTTTTTTTTTTAAATTTATTTATTTGATATTTTTGCAGTATTTATTGTTAGCTGCAGGTGCTTTTTCTTCCCCTCGTTCTGCATGTTTTAATATGCTTGATTTGAAATTAAAATGCGCGTGCCTGAAGCTAAAGTAGTTATACTTGGTGCCCAAGGTTAGTGTTTATACTTTCAATATCCATATGTGTTTGATATATATTCTTGTTTTCCAGCATCTGAAATTTTGGATAACTAATAGATTGTGAAAAATGTGTTAGTATTGAAATTTAATTTAAGCCTTTATTATTTGGTTTATGATCAAGCCATGACTTTTTAAAATTTATTATTAAAATACTGTATTAGTTGCATTTTTCTTACTATATGTACATAAGCAAAATTCTAAGCAAGCTCTTATTATCATATTATAATTCAGTCTTCAAAGTGTTTATATGTATTTTCAGATTTTCAAATTGTAGCATTAAATAAAAATGTCATGATAACTTCAAAATATGCTAATGTTATATTTTAATAAAACATATGTAATAAATTCAGTTCAATATGACTGTTTTTCTGCTGTGTGCTTTAATTACACTGTATGACATTGAACTTAAGTTAGAAATCGTAACATAAGTGTATTTTATAAAAATTTATATATTTTTTATTAATAATTTCAAAATATTATTTAATTTTACTGTATAAAGAAAATGCTAGAATTTTAGATTTATGCATTTATTTTGAGTATTTATTACACATACAGTTTACCCTGCATATAAATATTAAAATTTTGAATATTTAATGATAAATCTACAAATCATGTTATTTAGTGTGCATATAAATATTAAAATTTTGAATATTTAATGATAAATCTACAAATCATGTTATTTAGTGTGGTAGTAGCAAATCATACCAATATCTATGTTTCTTTATATTGCACATACATACTGTCATTCATAATTTACTGTAATTGATATAAAATTTCTGAATTGCCTTTGTTTCAGGAGTTGGCAAGACAAGTTTTATACATCGATATGTGGGCCAGATATTCCAACAGCATACCTCTCCAACTATTGGTGCTTCTTTTTTCACATGTAACATGTAAGTTGTTTGATAATTTATAATATGATTTTATGTAAATGCTACCTTAAAGACCTTTTAGTTTATCAGAAGCTGTATTTAATTTTAAATGAAATGGGAGCTAATCTTTGGAATATGGTAACAGGTAGTTTGGCGACATTTTGGTAAGGCGATAAAGGTGACTAGCTAGGACTTTAGCAGTGTAAATCAAGGATGTCAAACTCACGGGCCGCATGCGGCCCACTACAAATATTTTTGCGGCCCGGCCAATATATCGGCAAATAATAATATATAATAATAAAATAACATATCGACGAGGAAGAAAATTAAATGTTTACTGCTAAGTAATTAACGATAATATATTCAGTGTTGTTAGATTACTCACAGCGAGCTGACACACACACACTACTTAAATTACAAATGCGTGTGAGTAGCTTGCGTTCAGCTACCTTCGGCTTTTGGGGGACACGTGCACTCAGAACTTGTACGCATCCCCCAATAGCCGAATGTTGAATCAAGACGTAAGTTTGTTTTACGATCCAATATGGATACAAGATTTATCTTTCTTGGTTGATATAACCAAACATTTAACCGATTTAAATTTATCATTACAAGGAAAAGATCATATCATTATGAACATGTTTGACATAATTAAAGCATTCAAATGTCAACTAGTTCTTTGGGAAAAACAACTTAAAAATGAAAATTTGACACACTTCCCGATGTGCAGCATGAACAAATCAAGTTTAGATGATACTTGTTCGTATCAAAAATACGCAGAAAAAATTGCAAATTTAACAACTGAATTTGAAACGAGGTTTAATGATTTTAGTTCCCTCGAAGACAATTTTTTTTGTTTTCTTCGATTTTCTCAATAAGTATTGACTCAGTACCCAGCCATATGCAAATGGAGGTGTTCGAGATTCAATGCAACTCAAATTTGAAAGCAAAATTCATTGAAGTGGGCATGCCTGAATTTTACAAATATTTACCAGCCAGGTTTGAAAATACTCGAAAATTCGCATATGAAATTATTTCCATGTTTGGTAGCACTTATTGGTGTGAGCAGTTATTTTCAGTCATGAAAGGTAATAAATCTCCTATTAGAAACTGTATTAATGATGCTCACCTTGGCTCAGCGTTGAAAGTTATCACTGCAAACAAAATTTCTCCCGAAATGGGAAAGATAATAGCAGAGAAGAGATGTCAAGTATCAGGACGTAAACATTAAATTTTTCTTGTTCTTTTCTGTATAAATATGTATATATATTTATTATTGTATTATTCAAAATAAATCTACGTTTCTATGAATATTGATTTTTTTTTTTTTTTTTTTTTTTTTTTTTTTCCCCGGCCCGCCTAAAGTTAAACCTTGTTTGTTTGGCCCAAGTGCACCTATGAGTTTGACATCCCTGGTGTACATGGATAAAGTCAAGAGTGTGTGCAGTGCCATTTTTGTGCAATTCTGGAATGTTTTTTTAAGTGAAAATAGGTCGACGTGTACATGGATACGGTGTATGTGCAATTCTTAAAAACGCGGCAAGCAGTTTGCGATTCTGCACTTTCTTCCAAATTTGCACCTAATCTTCGTCATGATTAAACATTTTTGTTCCATAAAAGTTCTAGCATAAGCGTAATTCGGCTAGCAGATTGTTGAAAAAGAAATGTTGAGTAAAAAAAAAAAAAAAAAACAATGCCTTCACTTTGTGAAATTAAAATGGAGTCCAAACAAAAACTAACAGGTTGCTGTAGCAGGGTTGGTCACCAAATTTTTGCTAAGTTACCATAATCCAAAGATTAACCGTGTACTTATTTATTTCTTAAAATAGTTTTGCCTTTAGTTTCTATCTTCTTATAAGGGGCTGGGCCAATTAGGATTCAATCATTGAACCTTAATAGAAGAACTTTGTGATTCCTGCAGATGGCATTACTCAAACTGAATTATGCTGGAGGATTGAAGTTTGAAGTGACTGAGTAAAGTAGCAGACTGTAATATTGAGGATTTTCTGGCTTTACAAGTATTGTTTTTAAATAAGTTTTTACCCCAGTTCCAAAGTGATAATGAGTTGGTTGTAACTCATGTGCCATATGGTGCATACCAATTAAGTGAGAAATGAATTTAATTTTTCTGATTATAATATTACAAGAACTAATTACTTGAAATGACTAAAAATTCAAAGCAAAACCAAATTTCTTATTTAATGACATGAACAAAATTTATAAGCGAAATAACATAGTTTTTACTAATTCAGAAGTCAAACAACAAAAATCAGCGTTATATTCACAAAATTTTCGCAGGACTAGTTTCGATGGTTTTACCAAACCATCATCTTCAGCTGCAAAACCGCAAATGAACAAGATAGGAAATAATGATTAGATAAGATAAGAAAGCCTGGACAAGAATAAGCAAGTGGCGCCATCTGTTGGCGAAACCAGAACTAAAACATAATTTCTCTAAAAGCCGAAGGCAAATTTGGATTGGAATTAGGATCGTTAACTAGAACAGAAAGATTTTTATGAATGTGAAATGCCTCTAGAAAATCCAGTTCTCCAATGGAAGATGTTTTTTGAATAATTTTGGCAGCAGAAAAATTGAAAGTGTGATTTTCGGACCAACAATGTTGAGCAACAGAAGACTTCCGTGTTTCCTTTTTTCTAACATATGCCTCATGTTCTTTGATGCGAAATTTTAAGGCTCTCTTAGTTTGACCAATGTAAATTAAACCACACTGGCAAGGAATCCTATAAATACCCCAGGAATTCATATCCGGAATGGGGTCCTTGAGTATAGAAGTTGGAATTTTATTGATGGGAGAGTAAAACAACCCGAAAGTTAAATTTTCTGCAAAAATATGTGCAACTTTATAGCTAATTGATGGAAAGAAGGGAATGACAACAGAATTTTATAATCTCCTAAAATAAGAGTGTGGCTTTTAGTGTTGAGATGACAATTTTTTAACTGCTTGATTAATAATGTAGGGTGAAAAGCCCTGTCAATAGCTATTGCTTTTAAATAATTTAGTTCTTCATCAAGGGCTAGTTTGGAGGAGCAAACTTGAAGAGCACGGAAAACATAGGAATAAAATGAAGCTAACTTTTGTTTAGTCGGATGACATGATTTAAAGTGTGGTGGAAGGCAAACCGATGAAGGTTTACGGTAAACTGTAGTACTGAAGTTGGATGTGTTACGTGTGACCAGAATATCGAGAAACGGAAGAGAATTGCAAGTCTCAAGTTAAAAGTGATTCATTTCAGTGAGGGATTTTTCTGCTGTATTGTGTGTACTTTATTATTTAAGTTAATTTAATTATGTTTATGCTCAGTTAATTTAGTTTGATTTTCTGCATTGTTTATCATGCCTTCATCCGTTAATCGTTTCACTAAATTACGCCTGAAACGGCAAAAATTCCTGAATCATCTTGACTTTTTACTTAAATGTAAATGTAAAAAATTGATCCCCAATTTTATTCAAATCAAATCTAATCAAAAACCTTCGAGTCGCGTTTCAAGAATTCTGTTAAATTGCAAGCTTGCCTTACTTCGGTCCGTGATAAGGGATACACGTCAACAATTGTCCAAAATTGAACATGAACTCTATAAGCTTCATCTGGAACTCGCTAAATCCTATCCAAAATTCACTGCCCTTGAACAAAAGTCTTGGTCTAGAACGGAGAATGCAGTTATCCGTCATAAAAACACCCTTGCAGTTAAATTCGAAAAACTTCTTTTACAGTCTTCCAGTTCTAGTAGCTCAAAAAATCTTCCCATTGTAAACATCAAGCCAGTAGTTAATATTTCTAATGTTAGTCTTTCAGAAGAACAAGAGAGAATTCTAAAATATAATTTTAACTTCTCACAAACCTGTAAACCCTCGATTCCAAAGATTTTGGCTCCTATCGAAAAAGCTTTCAATTTCAGTAAAGTTTCAGATTCACAGAAAGAAATGATTAGGCATCTTATCGCTCATAATGTGAAATTCAATAATAAACCTTTGAAACCAAATCTAACAGCGAGAGAAAGAGCTACAATGCGCGAAATTCATTCTAACCCGGATTATTATCATTTCAAAGGCCGACAAAGGTGGCCAGATAGTCGTCATGGATAAGAACACTTACATCGATGGTGTCACTAAACTCTTAAACGAAGGACCATATAATCCGATCCCTAAAGATCCTTCACCTTCGGACTTATCCAAAATAAAAACTGCGATCAAATCTTCGCAAATCATTTCAAGCAACTTAAAACATTCGCTTATCCCATCTGTTGCGAATTGTGCCAGATTATATGCTCTTTCCAAAATTCATAAAAGTGGTATTCCTTTCCGCCCTATTGTATCAAATTTAGGTACTGCCTCGTATCCATTAGCTAAATATTTAGTTTCTAGATTTTCCACTCTATTAGACAATAACATTTACACCATAAAAAATTCATAGAGTTTGTAAAAAAGGTTAAAAACATTTCTCCTAGTAATTTACTCATGGTTTCTTTTGATGTAAAATCATTATTCACCAATGTCTCAGTGGAGGGTGCATTAAGATGTCTAGAAACCAGACTTCGCGAATTTCATTTCTCTTGCATCGAAATTGATGAGCTAATTTCTCTCACTCAACTCTGTTTGAAACAAACACATTTTTGTTTCCAAAATAAATATTACAAGCAACTGAGGGATTAGCCATGGGAAGCCCCCTCAGTCCCATCCTGGCTGATATCTACATGCATTATTATGAATCAAATTGTTTGAAACTTTAAACTTCCCGGCATGGTTCCGCTACGTAGACGATACTTTTACCCTGTTTGAAGGTAATAAAGATGATTTAAATAAAGTTCTTTCAACAATGAATTCTGTTGATCCTGCTATTCAGTTCACTTTTGAACTTGAGACTTGCAATTATCTTCTTTCCGTTTCTTCTCGAAATTCTGGTCACACGTAACACATCCAACTTCAGTACTACAGTTTACCGTAAACCTTCATCGGTTTGCCTTCCACCACACTTTAAATCATGTCATCCGACTAAACAAAAGTTAGCTTCATTTTATTCCTATGTTTTCCGTGCTCTTCAAGTTTGCTCCTCCAAACTAGCCCTTGATGAAGAACTAAATTATTTAAAAGCAATAGCTATTGACAGGGGCTTTTCACCCAACATTATTAATCAAGCAGTTAAAAAATTGTCATCTCAACACACTAAAAGCCACACTCTTATTTTAGGAGATTATAAAAATTCTGTTGTCATTACCTTCTTTCCATCAATTAGCTATAAAGTTGCACATATTTTGCAGAAATTTAACTTTCGGGTTGTTTATTCTCCCATCAATAAAATTCCAACTTCTATACTCAAGGACCCCATTCCGGATATGAATTCCTGGGGTATTTATAGGATTCCTTGCCAGTGTGGTTTAATTTACATTGGTCAAACTAAGAGAGCCTTAAAATTTCGCGTCAAAGAACATGAGGCATATGTTAGAAAAAAGGAAACACGGAAGTCTTCTGTTGCTCAACATTGTTGGTCCGAAAATCACACTTTCAATTTTCTGCTGCCAAAATTATTCAAAAAACATCTTCCATTGGAGAACTGGATTTTCTAGAGGCATTTCACATTCATAAAAATCTTTCTGTTCTAGTTAACGATCCTAATTCCAATCCAAATTTGCCTTCGGCTTTTAGAGAAATTATGTTTTAGTTCTGGTTTCGCCAACAGATGGCGCCACTTGCTTATTCTTGTCCAGGCTTTCTTATCTTATACTTAAAATATAATTTTAACTTCTCACAAACCTGTAAACCCTCGATTCCAAAGATTTTGGCTCCTATCGAAAAAGCTTTCAAGTTCAGTAAAGTTTCAGATTCACAGAAAGAAATGATTAGGCATCTTATCGCTCATAATGTGAAATTCAATAATAAACCTTTGAAACCAAATCTAACAGCGAGAGAAAGAGCTACAATGCGCGAAATTCATTCTAACCCGGATATTATCATTTCAAAGGCCGACAAAGGTGGCCAGATAGTCGTCATGGATAAGAACACTTACATCGATGGTGTCACTAAACTCTTAAACGAAGGACCATATAATCCGATCCCTAAAGATCCTTCACCTTCGGACTTATCCAAATAAAAACTGCGATCAAATCTTCGCAAATCATTTCAAGCAACTTAAACATTTCGCTTATCCCATCTGTTGCGAATTGTGCCAGATTATATGCTCTTCCCAAAATTCATAAAAGTGGTATTCCTTTCCGCCCTATTGTATCAAATTTAGGTACTGCCTGCCTCGTATCCATTAGCTAAATATTTAGTTTCTAGATTTTCCACTCTATTAGACAATAACATTTACACCATAAAAAATTCAATAGAGTTTGTAAAAAAGGTTAAAAACATTTCTCCTAGTAATTTACTCATGGTTTCTTTTGATGTAAAATCATTATTCACCAATGTCCCAGTGGAGGGTGCATTTATTATTTCCTATCTTGTTCATTTGCGGTTTTGCAGCTGAAGATGATGGTTCAGTAAAACCATCGAAACTAGTCCTGCGAAAATTTTGTGAATATAACGCTGATTTTTGTTGTTTGACTTCTGAATTAGTATTTATTCGGCGTATTATTGTGTCTTAACATAGTTTTTGTTAATCAAAATTTGATGAGTGAAATTTCAATAGTCAGAATGAAAAATTAGTTAAAATTCAATAACAAAGAAACAGTTAAAAAAAAGGTCATCTCAAAGAATTAGGGCTAATCCATTGACAATCCAAACATGAGCAAATATCTAACAATTGATATAAACAAAATAACGTAGAATTAATTAAAAGAAGAAACAGTAATTTAAACAAAGATGAAATTAGCATTATAGTTTTAAGATTTTCATCAAAATTAATATCTGTCTGTAATGGAAGATTTCAGCTAAAAAACATTCTTAATAAAGTTAGGGGGGAAGCATGAAAGGAGTATCTTTAGTGCAGGTAGTAATCATCACCCAAATCTAATTTTTTTGCCAATGTATTGGCAGTTTTTCAAAGCCTTTGGTCAGGAAACTTGGTGGCCACAAGTCCAAAAACAGATCAACCTCATTTTGGATGTCCTGTGCAGAATGAAGATAGCACCAGCAGTGTTTAGCTGCAAGTGTGAAAAAAGAAGTCCAAAGGAGCGATGTCAGGGCTATATGGTGTGTATGGAAAGAGATCCCAATCGAGTACATGCAAAATCCAACTGGTGAATGCAGACACATGTGTTTTGCCTTATCTTGATGAAACATTACCTTTTTGCGCTGGAAGGAACTCAGTTTGACATTTTTCTTTGATAGCAGTGTCAGCACAGGCTAGCATCTTGCTGTACACCTTACTGTCGAGGGCTTGACCATTTTCCAGATACTCTTTATGGATAATACCATGGCAATCCCATCAGATGCAAAACAGGATTTTTTTTTTAGTCAAATTGCGTTTTGGGACGCTGCCGACTGGCTTACCAGGCACAGACCAACCTCTTTTTGGCTTATGTTTTTGAAGTAAATCTACTTTTCATCGTAAGTGACAATCCTGTCCAGAATTTTCTCCTTGCATGGTTATTGGAGTAGATTAGTGCAGGCCCAAACACATCTTAAGTCAGCTCATGTGACACCCAGTGACTGATCTTGTAAAGTTTATGCAGTGCATTAGTGCCATGTCCATAATGACTAATGGACATGGCACTAATGTCTAACTCCTTAGTAATATCTCAAGTGGTTGCAAACGGAACTTCTTCCACAAGTTCTCGCAGGCAGCCCTCATCAACATCAGTAGGGAGCCAGAGTGCTGTGCTTCTTAAATGTCATAGTCCTTGTTTTTGAACTTTCGGTACCAAACCTTCACAGTGACGTATGATACAACATTAGTGCTTAAAGCTGTACACATGATTTAATGACATTCTGTAGCTGACTTTTTGCAACTGAAGTAAATGTCAGTTCTTATCTGATAGCGTGATAGTTCTGTATCAGACACCTTGTACTTAATGATAATGATATTTTTTTTACAAATTTCATAACACAATGTTCAAGTTCAAGACAAGTCTCTTTCTTTCAAATGCCAAAAATCAGTTGACAAAATAGGATTAAACATGCCAGTGCAAACTGTTTGCACAAACAGTATTTGCTGTGGTGGAAGACTTTTGTTAAAACCGATACATGTAATAAAATAATATTGCAGTCCATAACAAAATTCACAGACATTGGATTTGTAATGGCAGATATCATATGAGCTCACAAGCCTATAACATCATAAAAAAAAAGTCACAGGGCCTATGACATCATATGCTACTTTTCAACTCTTGCGTTGCTATTTTAAGTCAAAAATTTCTGGCAACACAGACTTGAATTGCAAACTAAAACACTACTTTACCTTTGCTTCTTGTAAAAATATCAAACAGCATCTAAAATAAAATTATTCACAATTGCAAGTTAAATTGTATCCAAACACCTGGCTCCTTAAATTTTGCAACTAAATTATTTGCTAAGAAATCTTCAAATAAAGAACTCGCAAGTTCATAGGTTATCCTCTTATGTTGACTTCAGCACAGAGGCATTTACATTAAGATCATGGGCTGATACCAATTTGTTTTCTCCTTACTCTGTTTAATACTCTCCTCATATATATATTCTGGAAATAATATAAAAGCAATAGGATTAAAATAAACCTGACATCTTATCAAACCTGATCAAAAGTGCACTAACTAAAGAGAATATTTTTGTACCTGATAAATAGGTACAGAATTTTTCTAAAATGTATGAAAATATTAAAGTTGAAGTTGAAGGAATATTTTATGGGGTGACTCTCATAAGTATAGTCAGCCTAAAAACAGAGCACTTGCAATGTATACAGATTCATTCTTAGTGAACAAAATTCACCAAACCGTTCATAAATCCTTTCATTTATAACAACCCAATGCATGGTATAAGTTTCTCCTTTTATTCCTTTCTTGTTTTTGCATTAGTTTTGTATGAACTTCTCTCTCATTTAAGTTTAAATTTTAAAACTGTCAACATTAATTGTTATAATTTTGCTTAGTAAAAATGTTGAAGTTTAACTGTTGCATAATATTTAATTTCAAAAATATTTTGTTTTAGAAATGTGGATAGTCATGAAATCAAACTTTTGATTTGGGACACTGCAGGTCAAGAGAGATTTCGTTCAATGGTAAAAAGCTGTAGTTTACTATATTGTATTTATAAAGCTTTTATAATACATAATAAGGTTATTTCTTCTATATCTGGCAGTAAGTTAATCAGCAGGTTCTAAAAAAATTTCTAAAATTTCAAAGACAAGCCCCCTCCCCCCAAAATGCTAATAAATCGGAGAGTATAAAATTAGGCAGATTTCAGTATTCATTTACTGTTACTTTTTAGAAAACTAAGTTTTCAGGAAACATGAGTTTCCTTTTCTTCAAGGAACAAAAGCATTTTTCTCATAAATAAGAAATAACCCTTGTGTGCTTTTTCATTATCTATTAAACAAACAAATATGAATAAGCTATTTATAGGCTACATTCTCTTATAAATTCTGTGAAAAAATGTCTGGTTGAAGGGAAAAAACATCTCAATTCATTAGGCTATATTCTATAATTTTGGGGAAAACATCCAGACAACATTAAAATGTTACTTGGCATTTTTAAAATTTTACCAAATAGAGGCAAACTGGGTGGGATACCATCATCAAACCAAAGCAGTTCTGACCTTCATTATTGCTAATGAATGGTGCAAGACTATCTTTCATGTAATGAGTCTAAGATGGAAAAGACAGTTTCTTAATTAAGTTGACATTAAAATAGTGCATGTAAATATCAGTATATAAATACTATAGAAATTTTCAGAATACTCTTAACTTTTTAAAGGAAAGATATTCCATGCCAAAATCTGTACCAGCAGGTCAAATTTTGCCTTATTTTATGTTTGACATTAGTATATGTTTCTTCCATATAATTTTAAGAAATTTTTCATAATTTGTTATACACATATATATGTATAGGCTTACTGTGTTATTTTTTGCTCAAACTCGAACAATTTTGATAAAATATTCACAACAGAAAACAAAACTTATTAAAGATAAGTACTTATGAGTGAAAAGACTGAATAAAGTTGTTAGTATTTATCATTAATGTGAACTTACTTTATAAATTGAATTACTCTTTTTTTTAATGGCATTGAAAAATTCATTACGGTTTATTTCACCCTGAAGAGCTATTAGTGTCGAAATGGCATTTTGCATTGGTTTACTATAAATGGTGTATCACTTTTTAAATTGTTAGCCACTAAATATTATTGCCCTGTATTATATTTAAAGAAATTAAATAATGAAGAATCTACATGAATGTATGTATGTTTCTCACATTGTTAAAAAACAACAGTACCTAGAGGCATAAAATTTTGAATGGCATAATCCTTCACCTAAACATGTTTTTGTAACACTTTTAACGAATTTTTGATTAAAAAACTTAATGATTTCAAAGCAATCAATGTCAATACTGGGGATATATGTCCAGCATGCGAGACTGTGTATCGGAAATTCTAAAGATATGCTCTTTTTATATATCTTGTGATATTGCTGTTGAATTGAATTTTATATGGTTTAAATATGAAGAGCATGATATTTAATAAATAAAAATAACACATAAAACCTTTTAAAAAATGTCTTTTTGCTTTAATTTTTTTTTAAAGAATATTCTCCCAACAGTTGCCAGTTCACCTAGTATACTGAAAATGTATTCTGTTATTTGAACAGCAGTGATATGTCCCCTTCCCTGGTTGGGCTGATTGGGCAATCGATTGACTGAAAGCTGCTATCATGAATAGCGACATGTAACATAAAAAGTTGCTTCTCTAGCTAATATTAAAAGTTTTGTCATTTAAATTAGTATCTTTAAAGTATGGTAATACATTTGAGAAAGCTTCAACAGCTGTTATTAAGCTTGCCTTATGTTTTGCATACTTCAAGTAATTTGCAATGTCCAAATGCCCTTGAGCTACTGAAAAGCAGAGTTAATATTTAACTTTGTCAGTTTGATCACAAACATTTTTTTTTTCGAAAATGGATTATAATTTTTTATTAATCAGTAAACATGCAGTTTCTTTTTGGTAAAAATCAAGACAGGAGAGAAACATGTCAGAATGAAACATAAAATTAGCCAGAGCCGGATTTATTCTTGTTAAGGCCCTAACCTATTTGAGATATGGGGCTCTTTATAAGTCTGTTATGCTATATTTTATTACTATATTTATACTATAATTTAATTTTTTGGTAGGCCCCCTAAGAAAGTGGAGACCCTAAGCTAAAGCTTGTGTAGCTTACACCTAAATCCTGCACTGAAATTAGCAGAGCAGCAACCTTGTGATTGTAATCCAAATTAAAATAAAAATTTAAGAGGTTATTGCTAATTTAAGTTATGATTTTTTATTTACGTATTTTTTATCTTACACACACCCATGTGAAAGATATAAAATATGAAAACAAACTTTTCGCTTTAATTTGGCCGCAGTCTCTTGTAATTCTTCATTTTAATTTGGCTACTTCATCCTCTTGTCCTAAAACTACTAAGTCCATAATATCTGAATGTAAAGTGCATCATCTCAAAATTAATCTGCAGAAGCACTTCCACAGAGAACCTAGTAAATGTAAATACTGCCAAAAATCGTGATAATAGTTCAAATGCTAACACAAGATATTCACTTTTTCAAAGATAGCAACTGTTTCTCTTACTTTCTTTTTCGTTCCTTACACTGTTGTTCGTAATTAAGCATCACACTCATTGTTCGCATTTGCATGTGTGATTTATTCGTGTTTGCATATGTGACTTATTTACTACTATTTTGTCTGATTTCCACACTATTTTTTCTGAATTTTTATTTTTATTCTTAGGCAGGCAGGCATGGCATCGCACTGTTAACAATTCCACAAACATTGTTAATCCAACAAATGGTGCATATATCCAGTCCACAGACTCAAACTGGCAGGCTTTGAAAATGAAATTACCCCTCCAACCCCCCCCCCAAAAAAAAAGAAAGAGGGAAAAATCTGAAAGGTCTCGGATTTTAAATAACGTCCAAAGAAGCGCTTTTTTAATGTTTTCGCGTTATGCCTTCATGTGTAACATTTAGCATTGCAGAAGTCTTATCTCCAAACAGATTAAAGAAATTTTTGACTCTCCAATGCTTTTTCTGACTTTTTACTTACTTTCGCGCTTTGCCTTGCTGCTGCTAACACATACCATTCATCTCTCTACCTCGTCCATTGTCTAAATTTGTGATAAGCTAGACAAAATTGTGGGGTGCATATCACACCCATAAAACCCCGTATGAAAAAAATTTGGTGGCCCAGAATTGGTCATTCAGAAATAAATTGGCCATGTCTGCTAATTTTTCTTTTCTGTTATGCATATGTAAAACCATCAGTTCTTGCAAATTAATATAATGAGTCGTCATTTGAAACAAAGAATCATCAAGATTTCTCAGATTATGTTACATATATGTATGTATGTGTGTGGTTTTCAGCATCATTTTGAATTTTCTTTATTTTTTAATGTTTTTATTGTAATGATACCTGAGATAATAAAAATAATTTTATGTGAACTTCTAAAATACTTACAAATTGCTGTCGAGTTTTAATTAATTCATGTTATAGCCTAAGAATATTAATGACATCATACTCTTTCCCTAATTTTTAGTTCAGAAATTTGTAATAATTTGACAAATTTTATAAATACGAGGTCTGTTCAAAGAGTTCCTGAATTTTTTTAATAGCATACCAATATGATTTTTTGGTGCTGTACCATATGTTGCTCTACATACCAGTGACTTCCATAAGATTAATCTTCTAGATTGCTTCTTTTTAAAAATATGTAGTTTATGACAGAAGTAGTAAGTTTTGTTAAAAAAGAATTAGAAGAAGATATGAATGGTTTACATTTAACATTGAAAGATGCGATAAAAATGATGTAAATTTTATAAATATATAAGAAATGAATTGCTATATCTCATCAATTCATACCTAAGAAATAAATTGATGAGATATAAATGGCTTAAATTTTACATTGAATGCTGAAATATTTAAAGACTTCTAATTTTCATAAAAATATTTTGCTTGTTTTTTAATTATTGTTGTGCTTATTTCATCATTGTTTTTGTAGGCTCCAATGTATTATCGCAGAGCAAATGCAGCAATTTTGATGTATGATATCACTTGCTATGATAGTTATGAATCAATGAAATCTTGGGTCATTGGTAAATATTTAAAGTACATTTTTAGTTACTACATTTTTAGTTTCTACATTTTTAGTTAAAATGTAGAAATTTGCTGTTTGAAATTGTTGTTTTGAGTGTAAGATTTTCTTTGTATATATGTAGAATTAAGTTGCATTATATCTATGGAAAGTAGATAGTGCTATGACTTCTCTACAAGAGTTGAAATAGCTGTGTATTTATAAAATGTTTAATAAGCCAATAAAAGCTGAATAAGTATTCAATAATTAAAAATATTCTGAAACAGTGTTTGCTACTTTTAATTCAGCGTGGTGGTAGGATGCCATCTTAGTAATATGTCTGTGAAATTTTATATTTTATGTTTAGGTTTCATTTGTACTTTTTCATTATGCACCTGCCATACTTTTTTGGCACCTGGGAAAGAGAAACCCAATGGTAGGGCCATTTGGACTAAACAAAAATTAATATGAGAAAAAGACACATGAAAGCAATTAATATCTTTTTTATAGAGAAATATGTGTTAAAAATATTTTAATCTTATGTAACAATTACTTTTTACATTTTTCAAGCATTTGTTTACAGCAGTTTATTTTAAGAACTTAAGAAATGATCTAGTTTTAAGTTCCTTAAATTATATTGTCATTACATCCTGATTAGTGATATGAGCTTCTTGTACTAAATTTGATTTTTCCATATTGTTTGCCAGAAAATAACAATTTTGTTTAAAACTTGCCATTTGGATATGACAAGAAAGTGTAATATTTGTCATAAAGATAAAAATTCTGTTATTTTTTTATTAACAGTACAGCAGTCATCACCAGATGTAAATGTTAGCATAAAATTCACCCGAAATAGTCATGACAAGCCTAACAATATATTAGAGATGCAGGACTTTGTTAGAAAATATAATCGTACGTGAATATTATTCAACTTGGAATTGCCGCCAGAGCGGACAACACACAACGGCCTATGAGGAACATTACTGACCAGCCATCGTACATGAATATATAAAAAAAGTATTCAGAGTTTTGTGAAGTGAATAATTTGATAGAACTAATTTTGGTTTTGAATTTTTTTCTTCTCTTTGCATGGCTGTTGGGTGCAGGTACTGTTTCCATGCTGCATTAAGAACATAATAAAACTAAAATATGATTTCATTTTGTAGTTATTTAAATAATTTTTTACAATGAATAATTTCATTTTTCTGAAAGATTTGAATGATTCTTCATCATTTTTCAAATACAGATCACAAAATCCATTTCGGTTCCTTCATTAAAATCTCGCAAAAAAAAAGTGTGGGTAAAAACATATGAATTACTGTAATTGGCGTAATTTTCTATTGTTGTTCTTGCAGGTATTTTGAATGTGGCCTCGTTAATAGAATTGTGTCAGAATTCCATCTCCTTCAATCTTGCTCATTTAAAACAGCACAGGGTTAATCCTGAGTTACTGGTACAAGTTAGTGACTAATGGCAATATAGATAGTTATAAAAGTGGTAAGCAATAAAATGTGACAGCATCTTTCAGTATTGAATGAGATCACTACTTACCAAAAATTGCCAATCTGCATTTCATTGTTAATTAATAGGGTTATATGTGTTTCTGGCATTACTAAATTTTTGGTCTCCTGCTATACTTTTTCTATGTGAAGTTTCTTCGAAATATCTGGCAGTGCTTCTGGTTTATTTACCTAAGAATACCAATTACCAATGAACTTTCAGAATAAGTGATTAGATATGCATAAGTTTTTTAGATATCTTTGATTATTTTGGTTGGTCTCTAAGCTGTACGAAATAGTTATTGGGAATGATCATCCCATTAAAAGTTTCTCCTTACTACGAGGCGTATTCGGAAACTAATTACCGTTTTGAAAAAAAAAAAAAAAAATAGTAAAACAATTTTTTTGAATCCAATTTTATTTTTACATGAAAATACGTGTCTTAAACTATTTTTCAACATAGTTTCCCCCAATGATCAAACACTTGTCATAGCGGGTGACCAGTTTTTATATACCATCGTGAAAGAAACTTCCCGCCAGTTTCGATAAACATAACTCCACAGCATTTTTTGTGTCATCATCAGATCCAAAGTGCTTGCCACCAAGCTCGCGCTTCATGTGCACGAACAAGTGATAGTCGGACGGCGCCAAGTCCGGGCTGTAAGGCGGGTGATCGAACTGCTCCCAATGAAACTGTTGAATTAACGATTGAGTGACACCAGCAGTATGGGGCCAAGCATTGTCATGGAGCAACACAATTCCTTTACTGAGCATTCCTCTTCGTTTGTTTTGAATGGCACGCCTTAGTTTTGTTAAAGTCTCACAATATCGTGCTGCATTAATGGTTTCACCTCTGGGAAGAAAATTCAGTAGGCAAAACGCTTTTCCTATCCCAGAAGACAGTGCACATGATTTTTTGTGATGACATTGTCACTTTGAACTTTTGTTTTTTTTTTTTGGAGAATGAGTGTGTCTCCACTCCATCAATTGTTTCGATTCTGGTGTGAAATGACACACCCAAGTTTCATCACCTGTCACAATTTGGTTTAAAAAGTTTTCTCCCTCATCACTGTACCACGTGAGAAATGTCAGGGCACTACCAAGTCGCTTTGTTTTTTGAACATCAGTGAGCATTTTTGGAACCCATCGGGAACACAGTTTGCGATAATTCAAGCAGTCAGACACAGTTTCGAACAAAATAGTACATGAAATTTGTGGAAATTCCTCTGAAAGAGTTGTCATTGTGAAGCGTCTGTTCTCCTGAATTGCTTCATCAACTTTCCTTACCAAATCATCGGTGACAACAGAAGGCCGACCACTCCAAGCCTCGGCGTGGACATTTGTTCGACCTGCATTAAACATTCTTACCCACTTTCTCACCATTCCATAACTTATCGCATATTCACCGTAAACTTCTGTCACTTGACGATAAATTTTGGCCGGTTTAACATTCCTTGCATTCAAAAATTTAATCACAGCATGAATCTCACAGTCAGCGGGAGAACTAATTGTCTTAAACATTTTGAATGCGCACAGCAAACTGAAAACACAACATAGAGCAACCAAAATGGTGACAATTGAAAGTCAGTGAACAAGAAAGAGTAGTGCGCATGAGCAGGACGCCTACCACAGCGCTGCGACGGTGCTAGAATGAAACGGTACTTAGTTTCCGAATACGCTATGTAGTACGACATTTTGATTTTCCTGTTTCATGTTAACTTGACTGGTGAGTAACTGTATAGAATATAACTGGTCTGACATTATTATGCTATTACTATCTGTTTGTCAAAGGTTTCACTGTGTTGTTTCACTTGCATACTTTGATGATTAAAAAAAAAGTATCTAAATAAATAAATAAATCTTCAAGAAATAAAAATAAATTATTCCTTACTAATGTATGACTACCTGTTGAGTTCATCAATGAGAGTTATTGAAGACAATGAATTACAGCTGCCTGTCCAATCACATTTTATGTTATATGTTGCAGAAGATCAATGAAAGTAGAAAAAATAATTAGCAAGTGGCTTATGTTCTGACATAGAAATTATCAAAGTACCATATCCTTTACTGGTACTTTTCCGTTTACTTTTTCGCCGGTACAAATTTCACCAAGCAGATTTTGTTGGCAATAACATACAGTATACACATAAAAAATGTTAACGAATGTTAGTTCTACGAATTTTTTATTTTGAAGACATAAATATTTTAATATGGTTTAAAGTTTTGTAAAATGCCAATAAATAAAGACAATAAATTTGTAAAAAGACATTAATTTAAGAATTTACTATGCTTTCATGATTCAACATCCTGATTCGCCGGTTCATATCACGTGACCCGAAGTTATCTCATCTCACGTAAACTATGCTACAAAAATCTAATTCTCTCAGTAACTATCCACATTAATTTCAAGTTAAATTTTAATTTGAAATGCAAGAATTATTTCAATTCGTATGAATAGCTTACTCAGAAATTATGTAAAACCGTAGTGCGTTACTTCACTAGTGCATTCTCATTAGAATTGATGAATTTAACCCTTGATTTTACCTTTTCTATATTTTCGCTTTCGAGTAAGTGGTGTGATTGCATTCTAATTGACTTGATTACCGCGAATCGTCCTAGGGCGTAAAATTTAACTATCTTGTAAAAATTCTATGTAATTGTATGTCAGTATTGAAAGAAATAATCAATCTCATAAGAAATAGTTGCGACTTGTTTTGAAAATGAGGCGTAAAAGGTTACCAGCGAAGATATTCTGTTTGGCATCAGTTGTACCATTATTTGCGACTTTCGTTTGCGGCGGCAAAACGGAAAAGTACCCCTTTACTATATAATTTGGTTCCATTTTTCAAAGTAACTCAAACCTCCTGATGAAGGCACACCTTTTTAACACATCAAGTCAGTGTGACAGACTTTATTAAAACCACTTCAAAGCACAAAAATATCTTTGATTTGCCCCCCCCCTTGCAAAAAAATGTCTTTTACACTTCTAATATTCCATTTTATGACAGTGATCATCCTTCTTTTATGTGTATAATCAATTTACCAAAACCAGGTTATGCATTCTTAACAGGAAATGGTTGGATAATGTAAATAATTAGTAAGTATTGAATCACTAATACTGTGTTAAATGTTGCTAGGTAAAGTGTATGAAGAATTAAGAAAATTGGGGGTAAAACATTCTTGATTATTCAAGATAACTGAAATAACATCCATAACTGCATCCTTGTTACTAATACTATTCATGCTGGCGCTGAATGTACTTGTTTTCTTTAATTCCATAGCTACAAAATCTGCAAAAACATTTGCATTTTACAACTTTGCACAAGTAATCAAAGCATGCAATAACAGAACTGAAAAGTACAAATATGAAGTGAAAGCTGTTAATAACAGATGATGAATGTAAAAAAGAATAAATGAACAGGAAAGTTCAGGAAGACTGCTGTTTAGTTTTATAGCTTATGAATGTTCTCCTTATTATCTTAATATGTTACAAAACAAGTGGTATCTGTTTGGAAGTATTTCA